GATTTACAATATTATTATTATTTAGAATAATTTAAAAAATTAATATAATGTATTAATATTTGACACCTATTTTTTGCGCATCGCGCATAAAAAAAATACTAGTAATATCAAAATGGCATGAAATATATAAATTCTGAATATATATCAGAAATTATATTAATAATTATAGTATAAATTAATTGATATGTATTAAAAAAAATTGACTGAGAATAAAAATGACATGAAAATTATACCAATTGAAAAATGAAATGATTATTAATACTTGATTAAAAATTAAAAAATGATTCCAAATTAAATCAAATGAAAAAGAAAATTGTCAGACCGTCCAAACAATAGTATAAGTAAACTGGAAAAAGAATTTGTTAATTGGAAAAATAATTGACTGAGATTGAAGATAGCACGAAATGTATAAATTGTAGTATAATATTTTAAGAAAAAAAAAAGGATCCTTATATTGACCATGTCAAAAAGGAAATATATGTAAAATCGAAAAACTATATAATATTACAAATTTATTGGAAATATTAAAAAAATTATTATTATTAATTAACTAATTAATATGTATTCAAAAAATTTATTGATTGAGAATAAAAAATGACATGCAAATTAGGTCAATTGAAAAAAGAAATGATAATTAATACTTGATTAAAAATGACATGGAATCCTTTTAAAAAAATGGCACGAGATCTGTAATTTTCAAATATATAATGACAATTATATTAATAATTATAGTATAAATTAATTGATATGTATTAAAAAAATATTTAATTGAGAATACAAATGGCATGAAAATTAGGCTAATTGAAAAAGGAAATTATTATTAATACTTGATTTAAAATTAAAAATAATTCCAAATTAACTCAAATGAAAAAAAAAAAAAAGAATTGCAACTCCGCCCAAATAATAGTATATATAAATTGAAAAAGAAATCTGTTAATTGAATAAATAATTGACTGAGATTAAAAATGACACGAAATATACAAATTATAGTATAATATTTTTTTTAAAAAAATCTCCAAATTAACAATGTCGAAAAGGAAACGAATTAACAATAGTATATCTAAATTGGAAAATGGTATATGTTATTAATAATTTACTGAAAATAAAAATAAAAAATATTAATAATTATCTAATTAATATGTATTAAAAAAGAATTATTGCCTGGTAATAAAAATGACATAAAAATTAAGTCAATTGGAAAATAAAATGCTAATTAATACTTGATTAAAATGGATCAGAATATATTACTAGAAATAAAGAAATATGTTATTAATAAATAACTAATTAATATGTCTACATATAATTAAAAGTAAAATCATCCTAGCCAAATCCCCCCCCCCCAAATTTACGGGCATTTCTGTAATATCTGTGTATATATAATTAGTCTATATATAATTCATAAATATTCTGTATGTGACTAAGTAGTTATGGAAAAAATATTATGGTAATTAATTAATTAGTTTATAAAATTTATTCTGTGTGAAGTTTAATTGACTAAAATTTAATTAATTATAAAAATTATATATTCATATCCGTGTATATATAAGTAGTCTATATATATTTCATAAATATTTTGTATGTGACTAATTAGTTATGGAAAGAATATTATGGTAATTTATTAATTAGTTTATAAAATTTATTCCGTGTGAAGTTTAATTGACTAAAATTTAATTAATTATAAAATTTATATATTCATGTAGTCCTTTTTGGTAAGCAAATGTTTAATAGAAATTAATTAAATATATAAATAAATGTAGCTTACGCTCTTTATTATCATATACTTAAATATTTTATATTTTTTTGCTCAAATAATTAATAATTAATATTTTTAATTATTTTAAAATTTGTTTATTATTAAAATTTTGAATTATTTAATATTTTGACTAGGAGTTGAAGGGGAATGGAGAATCCCCGTCCCCGCCTAATTCTTCGCTAGGACGGGGATGAGGAATATTTTCAATTCTCCGCCGGGGACGGGACGGGATGGGGATGGGAACGGGGTCGCAGTGATGGGGACGGGGAGTATACTCCCCGCCCGCCTCGCCCCGTTGCCATCCCAGAATATGTACTTAAAAATGGAAAATGGTTACCAAATTCTAAGAATAAGTAACCATTATAATTGTGAGAATAATGGAAACAAATTCTGCGTAATAAATCAGAAAATTCTTTTGAAATTTTGCGTAATTTTATAAGAAAATAATAATTTATTAATTATTATTTACAACAATCTATACTATTAATAAAATACAAATTATCCTCTTTAAATTTTCCACCCAAACTAATAAAAAATATTAATTAATTCGTAAAAAAAATTAATAAAGCTTAATTGGTAACAAAATTTTATATGGAAATTAACTAATATCTAATGAATTGTTACCCCAAATTAAAGTCAATATGTACTTAAAAATGAAAAATAGTTAACAACTTTTGTGAATAATTAAACCATTATAATTGTGAGAATAATTAAAACAAATTCTGCGTAATAAATGGAAAAATTCCTTGAAAATATTGTACTACCATCATCATTCAACTCAGGGTGAAAAGAATTATACTACCATCATCATTCACATGCGGAGCTAGGTATATGATTCAAAACTATCAAGATGAAATGGAATATGCAGGCACATCGGTTATCCTCATCTGTTCATAACATTCACATGCAACCCGAAGTGGACTGGGATTGAGTGCTATGTTGCACAACGTGGGCTTAAAGCAGAGGATAGACTCGATATTGTTTGTCGCGTGTTTAAGATGAAATTTGATGCTATGATTGAAGATATCAAGACGGAAAAGTTGTTTGGCGACATATGTGGAGGTATTTGATTATCATACATACTTTAATGTGCCTTAATTAAATTTAAATTTCATGTATAAAATTACTTTTTTTTTTATTTTAATTTTCTGCACAGTTATCTACACAATTGAATTTAAAAAAAAGATGACTCCCTCACGCGCACATATTGCTATTTGCCAAAAGAATGAATCGGGCACATTCCACACCGGAAGTTGATGCCTTGATTTCTACTGAAATTCCAGACCAAGATGCGGACAATAAGTACAATGACGCAGTTAGCGAATTTATGTTGCACGGACCGTGTGGACAACTCTGGAAGAATTCACCATGCATGGTAAATGGTAAATTTTCAAAGTATTTCCCTAAAAAATATGTTAGTCAGACGATTCTGGATAAAGATGGTTACCTAATCTACAGAAGGCATGACAATGGACGCATAAAATAATATTGAAGTGTGGACCTGATCCAATTGCAACTATATTTGAAAGCATCTTCCCAACCGCGAAGTATGGAATGCTAGAAGAGTCGCACCTAGAAGGACGAGCGATCCTCTCACCGACTTTAGATGTTGTTTATCAAATTAATCAGTATATGTGTGACATGAACACTGCAGAAGGTCAGACGTATTTAAACTGTGACCCTTTGTGTAAGGTAGAATCAGATAGATGGTGATAATCTCTCACAAGTACACACTCCTGAATTTTTAAATAGATTGAGATTGTCTAGACTTCTTAATCATTCATTGACAATAAAGGTTGGTGTACCTGTTATGTTACTGCGAAACATAGACCACTCTCTTGGTCTTTGCAACGGTACGCGCCTCATCGTTACAAGATTGGCGGATCATATTGTCGAAGCAAGAATAGTTAATGGAACGCAGCAAGGAAACAAAGTTCTTATACCACAAATGTCTCTCACCCCTTCTGATACGAGATTGTCATTCAAGTTCCAGCGTAAACAATTCCCGTTGATGCTAGCATATGCAATGACTATCAACAAAAGTCAGGGTTAAACACTAACTCACGTTGGCTTATTGTTGAAAAAATCAGTCTTTAATCACGGTCAATTGTATGTGACTTTTTCCCGAGTCACTCATCCTGATGACCTTAAGGTTTTAGCTCTAGATGAGGATGGACAAACTTCTGTTAGTACTACTAATGTCGTCTACAAAGAGGTTTTCAACAATGTCTAATTCAAAACAGTTATATTATATATACTTCTTGCACAAATATAACAAAATTGTTACATATCTACATATTACGTATATATTCCGTTACAAAAATTTCTATAGCTAAATTACTACACGTAAAGATAATGAGACCAATTAATTCAATTCCGAAACTTTCATACAAACCTTTCAACGTTAAAATTTGCAATATCGGATATGAAGCAAATTATAATTCATATATTATAACGAATACATACCGTGCATCGCACGGGTGCAAATACTAGTTATTACATAAAATATAACCAAGACTATGTGGTCTAATGGTACTTGGGTTGGACTTCCATTTGGAATGTTATGAGTTTGAGCCTCAGTAGAGGCGTTTACAATGTCATAGAGCTAAAAACATAAAATATATATAAATATCAAATTTACAAAAATGATTTACAATATTATTATTATTTAGAATAATTTAAAAATTTAATATAATGTATTAATATTGGACACCTATTTTTTGCGCATCGCGCATAAAAAAAAATACTAGTAATATCAAATAAGTGCCTAGAGGTGATCACAGTTCGGTCCGATTTAAATCGTGCACTGTGCTAACTGAACCGAATCAGAAATCGTCTGTACAGTTTCGATTCCGGTTCCTAACCGAAACCAATAAAGTTCCGGTTTCAAACCATGAATATTTTTTTAAAAAATAAACTTCATATTTTAATTTATTTTAAAACCCAATGGCTTTGGCAGTTTGGCATGTTAAAAATAAAATGGCCGCCTACTGCCTACTGGCTATTTTATTTTTTTTGGTTCAAAAAGTAACTCTCCCTTTCAATTGCCTAATACAACCTAATTCTGTATATTTTGATGCAGTCAATTTTAAAATTTACAAAAATATATATACTAGTCCTAATCCTAATCCTAATCCTAATCCTAATCAGGTAGTATAACTCATTTAATTTTTCCCACCCCTTTGAATTTAAATACTGCTAGTGTGCCATTCATTCTGCGAAAAGCCCAAAAGAAATAATTTTTTTGTTTACACCAAATCCAAAACACAAATCACAAAATAGCATAGCCGGATAGTTTATACGGAGTAATTTGTTTTGGGACGAAAAGAGTATTTTGGGACGAAAAGAGTGAAACCTATATGAGCTCTTTTGCTTTCTCTGACAATTGGTTTTAGGGTTTCTTTCTGCTCAATTGATACACAGTTATGGCTTTACTTTCCAATTCAGAATCTGAAGAATTGTCCGCTAATGTTTCTTCGTCCCCGTAAGCTTCTCTTCTCTCTCAAAATCCCTCCTTGCTATTGTTTCTCTCTCTAATGCTGTGCAAATTTTGTTATACTGAAATTTCAGGCCAAAAAGCATATACAAAGATCCAGATGATGGCCGCCAACGATTCTTGCTTGAATTGGAATTCGTTCAGTGTCTTGCCAACCCTATCTACATTCACTGTATGTTTGTTTCTCTATGTGTGATTAGACTTAACAACGGAGTACTGGCTAGTTAGTTATTAGGGATGATAATGGGGGATGGCTACACCCATCATTCAATCCACCCCCGGCAAATTATGTTGTGGAACCGTGCAAGGTGGACACTGTTCCAAAACTGTCCTAATTGTGAATATAGAGTTCAAAAATTATGAACATAGAGTTCTATAATAAAAGTTATTAGTTTAGAACTAAAAATAGTAAAAAGTTAGTTATAGTTATAAAAACTTTTAAAATTAACTATGTAGTAATACTTATTTTAATATTAATTATATATATGGCCTGTTATATCAAACCCGCATCCAACCGGCCATATTTTTTAGGACCCACCCCGACCCACAACCTACTATCACCCCAAAAAAACCTGATCCATGTAGGGTGGATTTGGGTAGATATCTGCTGGGTGGATTGAAATTGCCATCCCCATTTGTATTTGTAGCTGCTCTTATACTGGTGTGATGAGGAAGTTGAATTATTGTTTGTGGCAAGGAATTATATTTATAAATGTTTGAATTTTCTCAAAATTCAGAGGGCTAAGTTTATGGTTTTGGTAATTAGGAACAAAAACAAAAGTAGTTCTTTTAGTAAATCTTTGTTTTTGATTTAATGTTGAGTTGGTTATACAGATTTGGCCCAGAATCGATATTTTGAGGATGAAGCATTTATTGGATATCTGAAATACCTCCAGTACTGGCAACGCCCTGAGTACATAAAGTTTATAATGTGAGTTTTAATATTTAATTGCTGCTACAGATTTGGTCCAACTAGTTGTCCTGTTGGGTATATTGTGTTTGCTCTTCTTTAGTCATTTTTAGTATTCTTTTCATTTCTATTGTGATTATTTGGTGGATATATCACATATTTGATCAAATGAGTATCGCTTATTTCCACCACCTAATTGATTCTTGTTATGTTAGGTACCCAAATTGTCTCTTTTTTCTTGAAATGCTCCAAAGTCCCACATTTCGGAATGCAATGGCACATCCTGCCAACAAGGTAGGATTTTTCTACTTCGTGCAATGCTTTCACATGCTCTAAAGCTCATTGTTGTACTTTTTACAACCTATCATGAGAAACATTGTAAAGGACATGAATTACTCTGTATTATTTATCAATTGGTGGGTCAGCGGCTCTTTAGAAACACACCAAGTTTCCATTTAATATGCTCCAATTGGACACAAGGCAATCCTGTATACTTAGTGACAAGAAGTGACAACACATAAATCAAAGAGTACTATGAAAAAATTATGGCAGGCTTGTTGGGGAATGAGGGGTGGTTCATTTTTACGTCTCTTCAATTCTTCTCTTGTTGAGTTAGTCTTTAAAAATAAATTTATGATTCCAACAATGGTATGTGACTGATGTTTGATGTATTTCCTTATAAATTTTATTCTGTCTTTATCTCTCATTTTTGGAACTCTAACTTTTGATTGGGTCGAACCTAATAGATGGTGCATAGGTATTTAATGGCTAATTACTCAGATTCATATGAATTATATCATACTTTAGCTGTTTTCTGTCAATGGCTTTCAAATATCCACCTTTTACTTTTGTTTGCCATTATTTTGGATTTTCCTTCGATGATTTTGGAAAAACAAGAAATTGGAGAATTGGAAAATGGACAAACTTGTTTATTAAACTCAATTCTCCAATATCCTACTCTATCTCCAATCTTCACTTTTTCTTTGTTTTTGGAGAACTGAAAAAACGGACTTCTCCATTTTGGAGAAGTGGGAAAACATGCGTGAACAGTAATATTTCCAAGTGGTCGCTGGTTCGAACCCCACCTGCATTTTCCCTTTTCCCTCCCCCTCTGCACACAACAGCCTCCCTTTTTTCTGCCTTCTCCTTTCTTTCTTCACACCCCCCCACCACACACACACACACACACACTTTTTTTTTTCCCTTCTTTCTTTCTTTGTAATGTTATTTTATTTGTATGTTTCTCCCCCTGTTCATTATTACTATTATTACCCCGGTAGGTTTTGCGCATTTTTTTTTGTAATCAAACTATGTACTGAAATGATTTAAATAGTTGTAATTATTTAGTAATATGTTTTTATTGACTTTTGTTACCTTTTACCCATTTAGTATTACTGTTTTGGATTTATTTTTATCTTAAAGTTGAATTTGTAAAATGAAACAAAAAAAATTGATGAAATGTAAAACTTGAGAAATGGAGAATGAAAATTACAAAACTGGAGAAATGGAAAACTGAAAAATAAAAAACAGAGAACAAGTAAACGACGTTAAGCATATTAGAGTTCTGTTGTGTTACTATCTTTTATTAGGACTGATCTTCAATGTCTCTACAATGTAGGAATTGGCACATAGGCAGCAATTCTATTTTTGGAAGAACTACCGAAACAATAGGTTGAAGCATATTTTACCGAGGCCGCTTCCCGAACCTGCAAGTGCACCACCAACTTCTGCTCCACCCGTTCCATTGCCACCAACAGGTGCAGCTGCTGGTCCTGTCCCTTCTCCAATGCAATATGCCATTCCCACTGGATCTTCTATTGCTAAAAATGATCCAAGGAATCCGGGTGCTGATCGAAGAAAGAGAAAGTATGTTTCTACTGTCTTTGTATTCTCTTTTGTAGTGGAAGTCGACAGTGTTCTGAATAATTCAATGGTTGTTAACGTGCACAAATTTTACAGGAAAGATGGGTAGTGCCATTGATCTGGATGTATTGGCGTTGATGATACATATCATGGGTAATTTCTCTTGCATGTGCTGATTAGGTTAACTTTAGGCTTTTTGCATTCATTCATCTGCTCACCACTGAAATTCAATTTGTGATTCTTTACAACCCCCCCCCAAAAAAAAAAATTTGTACTTTACGCTGAGTAGCCTTCCTTATTTGATTTTTGAACGCATGAAAATGGTTAAAATTGAGGATGAGTTCTCTCGGTCTATCCAAAAATGTGGAACTAGATGCATATTTTCTCCTGGTTTTGGCGGTTTATGCAAAAATGCTTGTTTGTTTTAGGATCAAATCTTATACTCTGCAGAGCTCTCTAATGTCAATAATGTTATATTATTAGTCTTTAATAATGTTATTATTTGTATGGTACTAGTTTAGTGGTTTAGTCAAGCCTGATAGTTAGGAGAGGTTTACGTTGTTTAAACCTCTTTTAATAATGTAATAGTTATCTGATTAATTCAAGTTGGAATCACTCTTCTCATCTCTAATCTAATTGGCATGAAACACTTTGCAGGTTGTATAAATTGTATTGTTCCCTTGCTGGAAATGGCCATTGCTATCCATCTTAGTTTCAGGTTATAGTTCCCTTGCTGCCAAACCATTGGAGTTGCAGCCTCAAGCACCGTTTTTCATATACTGTGGAAATGGCCATTGCTATCCATCTTAGTTTCAGGTTATAGTTATATACAGTCCCAGATGAACAATTTTAGGGGTTTATTTTAGGGGTTTGTAAGATTCAGGGTTGGTAAGGGAGATTTGTTGTTTTCATCTCTCTTTGCTCTAATCTGGAATGAAGATAAGCTTATGGATGAAAGAAACGCGGCTATTCGCCACGCCAGCTCCTATCACCTTGTTAGACTGCTTGCCTTGCCTCTCCTCCTTAATATATGTAGTTAACGAACGTTTGGTTACAAGAAAAACAAAATTAATACAATTACTGTCTTCATTCAATGTATTCCAAGTTTAACTTTCCTTTCTCTCTTCAATATATGTATTTCAATTTATTATTTGACTTTCCTTTTTCTCCTTGCATCAAATATCAAGTTCTATTCTATATCCTGGACCTCATAAACCCTTTCCCATGTTAACTTCTTCGATCCTTGACTTTGGATATAGAGCCGTCTTAAATCTCCACCAGCTGTTCGATCCAAAAGCGGTACCTAAAAGTTTTCAATTTAGTCCTCTAAGTTGTAAAATCATACTCAATTTGATCCTTCGTTACATTTGCCATCTATCCACCGTTATAAAGAGGGGCAAAAATGTCATTTTATCTAAAGTTGAGGGACCAAAATGGATATTAGCTATTATTATTATCTAATAGTCGAGGGACCAAATTCACCAAAATGGGCATCATCATCAGATGAAGGAGATTCACAACAATATTGCTACTTCATTATGGGATGCTAGATCATGATTATGCTAATAGTTTTATTTCAAAATGTTTTTTTTTTAAAGACAAAATGTTAAATTTTAATATGTAAACAAACTAATTTAAATTTTATGAAGATGTCCTTTTTGTCCTTTTACATTTATCAGCTTATCAAAAAGCTAATTTTTCCAAACACTTTTAAGTATAATAACTCTTTAGTTTTCAGCTCCTAGCTTATATCTTTTCAGCTTTCAGCTACCTTTTCAGTTAAGTTTGCCAAACATAGCTAAGTAAACATGAAGCATAAGACAATCGTTGCTAATATAGCTTAATGGGTAGCATATAAATTAATCCAGAGTAGCCCCGCGGAACTAGCTCAATTGATTCGACTAAATACCTTAAAGTATTGCTCCATCAATAATGTGAGGTTCAATTCGAATCCCACTAGAAACTTGAAAGGTCATTGAGAGATCTTAACTTATCAAAGGTGATGATAATTCTCTATATGCAAAATGTACAGGCCTGACATGGGTAAAAACTTAAAAATTAACGACAGCTCATCGATTTATTTTCTCTAACAACTCTTGGCTAGTACGTAACATTTTTATGCCAAATCCAGGCGTGCACAGCATGCGAACGACATTTGTGGACGGCATGCATGCAAAATTGGTCAATATTCCACTACTTTGATAATGACACCATTAACATATGATGCTTCAATTCATCCTCTCAAATAATGATCGAACGCCCCATTCTGCCATATTCCGATCCTCTCTCGCCTTCAAACTTCAGCAAAATTAAACACGGAAATGTATTCCCTCCATCGCTACTTCAAGATCATATATTGTGAATAGATGAAGTGTTTGGTAAATAGTTGTTAGCTGTTAGACGATGTTGGTTGAATGGGCAGGTTTGAGTAGTTGGTAACATTAGTTCATTGTAGGAAGATGTTTGGTAAATTAGCTGTTAGCTTATAGCTGATTAAATGCAAAAAATATTTTTTTTTTCAAAATGCTTATCGAAAAAGCTGTTTTGAAGACAGTTTTTTGAATTTTAACATTTTGTAGCAATAAGCTGTTACAAAAAGCTAATTATCAAACACTCATATTAATTATTTAACCAAATTAAATAACTAATAATGATTAAATACGTCAAAATTAATTGATAAATTAACTATATTACCTAACTGGACCGATATGTGGTAATTGGAAAAAAGTTGCACTCCACATAACAAGACTAGTCCTATTCATATTGTGAAAGACCATTAAGGCACCCCCTCGTGGATTTTAAGATAAGGGGTAGAATTAAAATATTTAAATACAAGTGTTTTTTTTTTTTTTTTTTTTTTTTTTTTTTTTTTTTTTTAGTTCGATCTAGTCAATTTTGATCTACACTAGAAATGATTAAAATTGACAGAATTAAATCAAATATAGTGTAAAAATATAGAACCAACTTTTATTAGTATAAATATAAAATGAGAATTTTTACCATGTTGATGCTAGCTTATACAATTATATATGATCAGGGGCGGCTCCATAAAATTCGTTTAGCGAGGGTAAAAAATAAAAATTTTTATGGTAAAATATGAAATGGTTAAAATAAATTGTATATCAATATTCATAAATACTTTTTATTTAAATTAGATCAAATTTAAATATTTTTAGAATAATTTAAATACAATGATGAACATTTGAAATTTCTAAATTACATTGATAGTTCATAAAAATATTATATTTTAAAATATTTTTCATAATTGAATTGCAAAACAAATTTTGTATCAATTAATTAATCACTTAATATGATTTTTATCACATGTAACACATTATAAATTTCACAATTAATATACAATTAGAATTATGAACAAATCTCACAAATCACAATTTTAATTCTAATGAGAAGATAAAATTAAAATATAATTAAATATTCAAAATTGGTTAGAGAAAGATAAAATTAAAATATAAATATATATATTTGAGGTGTATTAGGGGCTTCAGTAAATAGTGTAGGTAGTGAGGTTTGATCCCTAGACCTTAAAAAAAAATAGTAGTTATTAACTAACCAATCTCAACTTCTAATTAGTTTATGTATAATAATATATGTTTTTAAAAAAATTAAATATATAATAATATATTGTTTATTTTTTCTAAAGGATATAATATATAAACACACAAATATATAATGAGGTTCGCAAATTATGCTGTGCAACCGAATGCACCTTGCAAGGTGCATACGGTTGCAAAACAGCATCATTTTGGTTAAAAAACGCGCCTCCTACTTAAAGAAGAAATCAGATTCGATTTTCGGCAATAGCATTTTTATATATCCAGAAATTTATAATTATATAACCACAATTTCATAACTATATATCCACAATTTCATAACTATATATCCATAGTGAATGAATGAAGTAAAAATCCACAATGAATGAATGAATGAAGTAAAAATCCACAATGAATGAATGAAGTAAAAATTCACAATGAATGAACTAAATATCCACAATATATGATTGAACTAAATATCCACAATGAATGAACTAAATATCCACAATTTCATAACTATATATCCACAGTGAATGAATGAAGTAAAAATCCACAATGAATGAATGAATGAAGTAAAAATCCACAATGAATGAATGAAGTAAAAATCCACAATGAATGAACTAAATATCTACAATATATGATTGAACTAAATATCCACAACGAATGAACTAAATATCCATAAATTCATAACTATATAACCACAATTTCATAACTATATATCCACAATAATGCGATTGCTGAGAGTAGAATCTGATTTTTTTTTTAAAAGTGGGACGCGCGTTTTTAATCAAAACGACGTCGTTTTGAACCGTATGCACCATGCTCATGGTACATTCGGTTGCACAGCATAACTATTGAATGAGGTTGGGATGGGTGGGGGAGGGGGGAAACTGCCTCCATTGCCTCGGCAAATTATATTGTGGATCGCGGTCCACAATGCATTGTGGTCCAGTCATCAAATATGCAATGTAGTTTCACTTCAACACAACTACAGTATCATTTTGAAATGATTACAGTTTCGCTGGACAATATACACTCAAATATGTGAAATTGTTATTCAATTTCATTTTGTATACACTGCAGTTTCATTTAAACATAACTACAGTTTCATTTCAATTCAATTGCAGTTTCATTTGATAATATAATAAAAATAATACGTGAGACAGTGTCAGTTTAGATACACTATAGTGTCTGCCGTTTGGACCATGGTCCACAGTATAATTGCTGCATTGCCTCCCCTCTAGATCCGCCCCCGTATATGATATATTTGGTTGTATTAGTATCAAATGTTAATAGAGAAAATTACATCTTTAGTCCCCGAGTTATAACCAAGTTCCGACTCAGTCCCTAAGTTATGGTCGTATCCGAGTTTAGTCCCTCAGTTATGAGCGAAGTGACGAATTTGGTCCCTAGCATTAATATTACGTCTGCAGTTAACGGAACACTTAAAAACAATTTAGTAAAAGATGGGTAAAATAGGAATTTCAAATTATAATCCCCTTCTTATGTTAAAACCCATTGCGCAACAGTCATTCTTTTCTTCTTATACCTACAATCGAAGGTCTTTTTATTTTCCGAGCTCTGAAATATCAAATTCGTCCACTTCCAAGCTGCGAAATTCATAGGTAAGTTGTTTCTCATTTTATATGTTTAAATAAATAACAATATTCTCCGTATTGATGAACTAATTTAGCCATTAATTATAGGATGTCATCTCTTAGTTGTGGTACTTCATCTTTCCCTCAATTTGAGGATAATTTTTGATGTAGATGTGATATTTTTTACCCATCAAAATGTCATGGAGTTATGCTAATCGAGGGAAAAGATACCAAATTTGGCCATGTCATGAAGCAAATTTTTGTATTTGTCAAAAAATTGTAATCTAAGTTGTGTGTGTGTGTGTGTTTTATATATATATATATATATATATATATATATATATATATATATATATATATTTTAAATAGAATTGAAATATTGAAATTTGATTTTTTAAAAAAAACGAGAGTAGGGTTTCTTCGCTGATTACATAAGCAACTTAGAGCTTTTGTCGATTTGGGAGAAAGTATTTTGACTAAGTTTACAAGTTTTATTAAGGAATTTACTTCTTTACACCTGGAATTAACTTTGTCAACACACCACTAACGTCAGGGACCAAATTCGCTACTTCTCTCATATCTGAGTGACTAAAAATGTATACAATAATAACACAGGGACTGAGTCGTCACTACGGTTATAACTAGGACCAAACTCGCCATTTTCTTATGTTAATAATATTTCATAAATTATACATGATTGTACAAGATATCAGTCAGTATCATATTAAAAATCAAATAAAATATATACAGTAAAGTAGATTTTTGTTAAAAGAAAAGCAAATTGTCGGCAGTATAGAAAGCTAGAAACATATGCATCTACTTTTTCCATTTCATTTGGGTTCTTACTTTTTACCTTGTCTTAGTGTACCTACCATACCGGTCAATTAATTTCATCATAAATTGAATTAAATAAAAAAAGAAAAAAACATAAGATATTTACTCTAATGCAACGAACACTTTTCCACAAGCTATAGTAAACTATGGCCCTATTTGATAACATA